AGCGTTGCTGAGGAGAACATAATAAATGCATTAAAAGACACCTCCTCTTTCAAAGGAATAGATGAAGGGATGGAAACTTCAGTGGGCAAGTATTTTAGATTTACTAATCAATGATATGCTTCCATTAATTTGTTTAATTCCTTTGAAACAATAAATCTGACGGTTATTTGTATTGCTATCATAGAAAATAATGCAGAAAATTATTAAGCCAGAGTGCGTCGTCTGCTTTGACATTAGGATATCCCTTTCAACGAAATTCCCTACAGACGTCGCCGATGTGCTAAAAATAGAATTTTATGTTGTGTTATAATGCAACCTTTCTCTTACCTTAGATATATAAAAATACCTTCTTATGATATTGATGAGAAATAATCATCACATACAAATCTATTTATCGATAAAAAAAAGGTATAATTATTGTTTTGCAAGAGCTGAAGTTTGTTGGCCATCACCTTTGGCGGTCAATTCTGCAATGCCCCTTACATCATGTTTTACCACCATGAAAAAAAAATAAGCTGTAGTAAAATTTTCAGAGAAAATCCTTTTACTTTTAAAGATTATTTAAATTTCAATAAAGTTATTTGTAAATACAACCAAGAACGAACTTGCATTGAATACTTTACTAAAGTCATTGTGACATGTTTATAGTCCATTTCAAAATAGGCATGCATTATTAAAAATTGAGTTATCTTTCTTTGTGCCTGATTTTTTTTGTAATTTTCACTTCATCATTTTTATAGGGTTTCCTCAGCAGACAGAAACATGTGAGAGTAGACCAACACAGTTCAGTATACAAGGTGTGTATCCAAAGAAGATATTCATGCATACACATGACAATAAATTTCTAAACAAATTTACTTTCTTTTAAGCATTAAAATCAATTTTATCAACAAAAAAAGCCCATTAAATTGCTTGATTTGTTAGTAATTTTTAAATTCAGAATTAGTATAGTAGCCATCCTATACCTATCGTTGTTTAAATCTGGAACCTTTTATAAAATATTAGTATTTAAGATATAAACAGTTTTTAATATATAGTTTATGAAATTGCTGAGCAAATTGATAATTAAATGAATCAGTTCATGATATAGATTTATAAAATGTTAACACTGACTGGTAATTAATTGCAGTAATATTATAATTGTGACCATAAGTAAAGAGTGAGATTATTTGCCCTTGTAACAAATAATTTGGTATAAAATTGAGAGTGTAAGTATAATCAATACAGGGGTGGATCAAGTCATTTTAAAAGGTCCCCATTCAAATGCATAGATCATAAAAAAAGGGGGGGGGGGGGTTCACTGCAATGAGGAATAATGTTCATGAATATTCATCCCTGTTGTGTATAGTATTTATATGACAGCTAATGAAAACAGGTACAAGAATAACATTATTCAAGTATTATTTTATTTGATTTTGATCGAATGAAGAGTTCTTACTATCAATCAAATATCCCAAAATAAAATGATTGTTAAAAAAAATTAAATTATTATGTATCTTCATTTCATTTCAGAAAGCTCATCATCTGATCAAATATATACTGATGAACCTGTCAGCTCACCCATTCCAGCACAGATTGCTGTCTCAGGATGCCAGACAGCTGATGGTAATTATTACTTAGATTTTTGCATTATGCTATTATTTTTACAATTCTGCATTTCATAAAAATGAAGATGCAATGTGTCAGAATCAATATTTGAATTAAAGAACTAAAGTTGATATATATTGCTGTGAAAAGAATTTATATGTATAAAAAAATTACCCATGGAGGGTCTTATACAGGGTCTCTGTAATAGCACGCTTTAAGTAAATTTTGTATCTATTTACTTACTTTCATTCAATTGGTCTTTATATATTTTCTAAAGTTGTAATTGACAGTACAGAATATAATGACATATGGAAAGAGCTATCATGGCTATATTACTTTTTTACCATACCTTTCACTAATCTATGTTGTTCAATTGATGGGGATTTTATGTCTTGAATATATGTATCTTGACTGACACATTTAAATATAAATATTCAAATATACATCAACTTCATTTCCAATTTGGTGGATAGTTGTCTCAAGGTCTTCTAATCAATCATACTATTCCTCCTTATTTTTATATACTCAACACATATGCAATGTATACCCAATCAACTGAGGCAATTTTAATGTTTCTTTAATCAAAACTTTTAGAACCACCATCTTCTGTGGAGAGTATCTGGATTAGGAGACTGGAGCAGGTTCACCAGAGAAATGAAGAAACACCTTATACTGAACATGCCAACCTATCAGCCCAAATACCTCTTTCATTTACTAATAGCAGCACTCAGCAACCACCAAAAGCCAGGTATATGTTTTAGATGAAAGAATACAACAGCCTTTATAATTTCTATACACTAAGTAAGTTGGGTATGTACTGAATGCTCTTTTAGCGTTGTATATATCTGGCGCTGCAACTTTTTTAAAATGGAGCATCACTGACGAGTCTTTTGTTTATGAAACACCTGAATACATCCTGGAATATACTTGCACTTTGTTAAAGGGATTATGATGATATAACTTGGCTTAATTGGGCTTCCTTTGGACTCTGATGCATATTTGTCTAATTGGCAATCATACCACATCTTCTTATGTAATGATTTGAATACTGATAAATATTCTTAAAGTGCCAATAAGTTTATACAGCAGCCCTGTATAAAATCAAGTGTTATCTCCCTTTAAATTGTTTCATTAAACTTGTTCTTTTATGATCAAATATGTCCTGTAAATGAGGATCTAAATTCTAAATCAAATTATCTCATTTAACTATCAGTTAAATGTAAGATTCAGAGAAATATCCCAAATACTAATTTGTAGAATTAATTAAATGAAAGTCTACATCACCTTTTGTTTAAATATTAATCCGGAACACTTACTTCAATATGATCAATTTTTGTTAAAGAGTATTAGTTAAAGGTATAAACATTTATGTACAAGTTGTAGAAATCTTGGCCTTTGAAAAAACAATTTTACATAAATAGTTATACCGGTTTAAATAACTATATTTATTTACAAGATTTACCAAGTATTAATTTTTTTTATATATTTCAGTGAGAATAAACGGACAAAGAAACCCAAGAGAACTGCAGAAGATGTGTACGAGTTGCAGTGTCAGGCATTACAGAGCGAGCTAAAAAGAAATCGGGCCCGAATGGAACTTTTCAAGAAGCAAATGGAGTTTTATGATTTGATAAAGAAAAATTTTGAAAATAGTTGTACAGAGTCAATGTTAGAGGCTTTATTTCAATAACTTTAATCAACATTTATCTATAGTTCCATATTAATGTTATATTTTTGATATGTTTTAAATTATTGTTATTGATAAAATACATATTCTGAAAAAAGCTTTTTTCAATGTTTTATTCATGATTTCAGTGATTAAAAAATGTGGTGGAAATGTGGTCTCTGACACCTCTTCCGTCCTGATCAGCAAAGAAACGTTCCCCATCATTGTCTATCACTACTCCATCATCTTCAATGTCTGGTTCATTTAATAGGATGCAAATATTGTGAAGAATAGCACAAGCAATGATGATCTTGCATGCTTTGCTTGGTGTCATTCTTATCTGAAACCAAAGAGTGAAAGTAACGTAGAATTATTGCCTTTTTTCACAATAGCATGTTAATTTGGTCTTAGAAGTTAGAACTTAAACAAGAGTGCACATGCTGAAATGACTCACCTTCTTTACTAATCCTTGCTATTATGTTGATAGTCCTAAATATACAGCTTTATTACAACTATCACATAAACTTAACATGATACAAGAAAATGAGGTCAAGGTCATATAAACCAAACAAGAAATACATGTACACCTAACAATCATTCAATACACTAAAGATAGTTGACCTATTACTTATAGTTTATAAGAAACAGACTTAACCAATAAAACTAAACATTGACCAATGAACCATGGAAATGAGGTCAATGTCAGATGAACCATGCCAAGCAGACAAGTACAGGTAATGATTCTTCCATACAACAAACATAGTTGACATATTGCTTATAGTTTAAGAAAAACAGACCACAACACAAAAACTTAACTTTGACCAATGAACCATGAAAATGAGGTCAAGGTCAGATGACACCTGCCAGCTAGACATCTACACCTAACAATTATTCTATACACCAAAATTAAACAAAATTTAATTTTTGATCCTTTGCATGGATCTCGACATCCCCAATGTTGCTCCAAATCCAAAATCTGAAACCAGAGTTAAGATTCAGCACATCTAATATATTCAATAATTTTTGTAAAAATCAAACACAACATTTAATTTGGACCCTGATTTGTACCAACTTGAAAACTGGGTACAAAACCAAAAATATAAATTTATGTATAGATTCAGGATATCAAACATGTGTCAAAGAACCCAAACAATCCAATTTTTGTTAAAATCAAAACTTAGTTTAATTTTGGACCCTATGGACCTCAAAGTGAACCAATTTGAAAACAAGTTCAAAATTAAAAATCTAGATACATGTTTAGATTCAGCATATCAAAGAATCCAATTTTTGTAAAATGAAACAAAGTTTAATTTTGGACCCTTTGGATTTTATATTATATGGACTAATTTGAAAACAGGGCCTAATATAAAAATATTAATACACAGATAGATTCAGCATATAGAACCACAAAAACAAATCAGTTTCTGATGAAATCGAACAAAGTTTAATTTTGGACCCTTTTTGACCTCAATGTGGACCAATTTCAAAATATCCAAATCAATAACGTGATAAGAACCCCAACAAAAGATGAAAGTTCTTTTTTTTTTAATCAACTGCATTTTTTAGGGAGCTACCATTTGATTTGTATGGAGGGGGGGGAGGGGGGGCTATGATGAAAAATTCAGTCCTGCCTTTTTATTTTTCACTCTATTCGGTCCTGCTTTTTTTTATTAGTTATCCTGACTTTTTTTACCTAAATTGTCATCCTGCCTTTTTTTTTTACTCAAAACTCTATTTTTTTCAAATTTCATCCTTGCCCCTTATGTTCTATGACACTGATCATTTGCATAAAGAATTGATTTTTTTTATGCTTTATCTCTGAGTGTAATATATGGAACCGTCTCTTCAGCCTCCCAAATGTTCTCTCAATCACACTTTTTGTTGAACAGTGGCATCTATTGTACTTTTTCTGATGATCTTGTACAGGATTCTGGTATGGGGTCATCAAAAATGGACGACAAGGATAACCACTATCCCCCAGCAGTACACCATTTGCCCATCCACCATTTTGTTCCATGTAGGTACACACCTATACATAAAGGTTTATATTTCATTTACATCTTATATTTGGTTAAAACTACCATTTGTATAAATTAAATGTATATATTCAGCTTCACGGAGGAGTTACACTATTTACCTTAAATAATATTGAGCAAGACTATTTTTCTATATTCCTTTTTCAGTTATTGTATATCAATATTTTTTTAACATAGCCACCTCTTAAAACTAATTGGTTGTTTCTTTATATATATAGAATAATTGATTTTTTAACATATATATCATTTACTAAAGATATTTCTATATTCTTTTTCAGTTATTGTATCTCAATATTTTTTTAACATAGCCCCCACTTAAAACTAAAAGGTTGCTTCTTTATATATGGAAAAATAGATTTTTTAACTTATAAATCCTTTACTAAAGATATGGAAATACAATTGCAATCTTATATGAATAATGTATTAGCCTTTCTTTCATTAATCCAAATTTTATTATGCTAAAATGATTAATTATATGTAAATGTGAAATGATAAATTCATTATTTTGAAATGAAATTCAAATGTCCGCAGATTGGTATTTTTACACCTTTATGTGTAATGACAAAAAGGGAAAAAAATATTAATGATGACAGGTAATAAAAATAGGGGGTTTATGTTCCCGCAGTGGTAACCAATCCAAGATAAGAGATTTTAATATGTATTGAGAAAATAAGAAATCTTCCTACTGTTAACATATAGTGCTTGAAAGGGAATATGACTAATAAAAGATGACCAACATGGCAATAAAATACATACTTGTGAAGTCCTGAATATGTGGGAATCATGACTGCTACCTGGCCAGTTTGCATTTATGTTTGTGAATTTACCTGCAAAATATAGAATATTATATATAATGCAAAGAAGAAAGAAATGTTGTAATAGAATAAACAGAATTATATGTAACAAATTATCTTTTATTAATTATCATGTTTTTCTAATTAAGAGGTGTAGCAAGAGTTTCAAAGTGAGGATTATTTGGGATCATGTAACAGTGGACTAAAAACTAAAATTTATTTGAATCCATTTACCTAAAAGTATTGTAATGGTAATCTTAAAAGGGGGTGTCCAAACATTTCCAACTACAAGTGTATAATTGCTTCAAATTTCAGAAAACACAATGAATAACCATGATAACTCAGATGTACAATGCATGTATAGACTCACAAATTATGACTTAATTATATTGTTTCAAACTAGGAAAACATGATATTAATAATCAAATCAATTGTGCTAATACATCTTTATTTTTTTATAGTTGATCCACATCAGAGCAATATTCAAATTATAAATTGTACTGTAGGTTAACCTAGGTTAATCTTTCTTTCTTTTGGATTAAAAGGGAAAATCTAAGAAATGTATCTGAAACAGCAGTGGCGGATCTGTGGTGGGGTTCCAGGAAACCCCCCTATTAGAACTATCAGTGCATTTGAAAGGGGACATATGGTTGGAACTCCCCTTTATCCTAGGTTGGGACCCCCCCCCCCCCCCCTTTTTGAAAATGGCTGGGCCCCTGAACAGAATCTTTTTCTCATTGAAGAAAAAATGACAAATAACTTCTTTTAATATTGACTAACCAATATTTTAATTTACCTGTAATAGGTAAACCATATAAAATCCTACTTTTATGTCCTAGATGAAGGTTTACACTGGAGTGAAAGTGAAAGTAATTACTATGTGAGAAACAGACTATAGGGGTCCCAGTCATACAAAAAAGTTGAAACCAGTTTATTATGTTATGAAGGTCAATGTCATATTAGATAAGAAAGAAATGTTTTACCTCTGGCATCACAAACAGCCTGCACATTGACAGAATGTACCCCTTTCCTATTCACGAATGATGGTTCATCTTCTGATGGAGCCTGGATACGGATGTGTGTCCCATCTATTGCCCCTAGCACATTTGGGAAACCACTTAGACGGTAAAAGTCTCCTCTTGTTTCATCAACATTTATCGGCCACTTGATAAACTCGTCCCGTTTGTCACGTAATGAATTCAAAACATCAGACACAATACGTGAGACAGTTCCCTTGTGCAAACCTGTAAACAGACCAAAAACAACAACATACAATTTTGGAGATCGATAAAGTACAAAAATAAAATGTGTATTTACCGTTTGATTATATATTATTTAGAAAATCAACAAATTGAAAGTATCACTCAAAAATCAGCCAAAGATAAATATAGCAGTCGATTAACACCACATTGGCAATGTTTACTTAATTTTAAATGACATATGATAAATATATAATGAAATCTTACCTATTGTGTCTCCAACTACTTGCAAGAAACTGCCTGTGGCTAAAAATCTCATGGTAACCATGACTTGCTGTGGCACAGTGAGGGCATGGTTTCTCTTTGTTTTTCTTGACTCATCATTGCTAACTAGGTTGGAAATGAACATAATTCCTTCTCTACCAAATCTGTACCTTTCTCTTAATTCCTCATTGGACAAATTCAAAGAAAGGTCATCTTTGAGGCGAAAATGCCTTTCTTTTCTCTGAGGTGGAACAGGTACTTGCATAAAGGCGGCCATATTTAACAATAACTTAGATATTTAATCGACCTCCCAGAAGTTGTTAAAGTTAACGACTCTTTAACATTACTTTTGTCGTTAAATTTTTTGAACAACAGTTAACAAATTTGTTAAATTTAACGACTCTCTAACGACACTTTAACGACTGCGTTAGCTTAACGACACTTTTGAACAACCGGGCCCTGTAATACATAAATTACGCTCATAGAAATCAAAACAAATTTGCAAAAGACACAGGCAGAGCGAACGAGTAGGGATATATTTACACACTGTAAGATTGTGCTAAAGGAAATTCACCATAAAAAAAGAAAAATTTACAATATTGAACAAAGGAACGGTCATTTTGTCGTTAATTTTTCATCCACAGTTTCTCGTGTAAAACTGCAATATCTCAATCAAGGAATAGGCAATTATTGCTGTTAAAATTTCACTGATTTAAAGTAAGTTCTTGTGGGTAAATTTTGGTAGTATATTTAGATAATTCTAGATTATTTAACGAAAACAATATCATCAAGATAACAGTAATGTTTGTTGCATTTATCGATTAAATGGAATTAAGACGGGTGTTTCTATTTAGGCAACTGTAGTTCCTAACAGTACAGGAAAAAGTCTTATATTATAGGGGCACAGTTGGTGCCCATTGCAATACCTACAACCTGTCAATAACCTTTAAAACTGAAACGTACGTACATGTTGTCAGTGAGAAAATTTACAGCTTTAATCATCTCGTCACACCTGAAGTAAGTAAATCAAGCATATTTATTTACCTTTCTCGTGAGATTAAAAGGCTTAAATGGGTTTGACATGGTCATTTTAGACACAGATATTTTAAAGTAGTAATCTTAACTATGAGGGCGGCTGTAGAATCTTTCGGAGGGCTGACTTTTATTGTAAGCAACAACCTATGTCGAGGAAGTCATGATAAAAAAATGTAAGCTAGCTTATACCGTTTTAACTGGTAGATGCCATTAAATATCATCAAAACCAGTACATTTAGACATGTTAGAGAAAACTGCATCATTCCTGCATGAATCACCACTCAAATAAGCATATCATAGTCGAATCATGTTGCTTTAGGAAAAGAACTCCTGTATTTCAACAATGATCTTTTTACTATTTCTAAAAAAAAACGCAAGGTGAAGATGGTTTTTGAAAAACAATATAATTACGAAATGCAAACTAATCTCCAGCGTAAGTGATGATAGTAGAACAAAAAAACTCATTAATGTATAAAGAGAGGTAACATATATTTCACTGTATAACATATTATACAAAATAGCGTAATTTAAGATTAAAATCCGCTATAATAAAATCACCATATATTAATGAAATAAGAGTTGTTGCCAAATTTCCTTGAATTAGGAAGTTGGACTATATGAATTTATACGCATATAGTCATGATAATACCTTTTGGTCCAAGGACTCATATGGTCGGGAACATGTACAAAATAAAGGCAACAGTAGTATACTACTGTTTAAAAGATATTGCACGGAACCAATTACATTCCATAAAATTACTCTGTGGTTGGAATCCACTTAAAACTGTCGATTCATTTTTGCTATAATGTATCCAAATTTTATTTGTTTTCGTCTTCAGACATTTATAATTTTACATTATATTTAGAACAATTTGAAATATCTCTCAAGATATAAATTTCCGGACCATACAGTCATATAAAAAAGGGAATAGAAAATTACAGGTAGCAGTCAGAAAGTAGGAGCCAAAGATATATAAACAACACCAACTCAAAGAGATGAAGAAAATTACTACTTATAAGCTATAAACAAAAGAAAGCGTCGCAATGCAAGTTTAGTCAATTCAAATGATTTAGTATTTTAACGGTTTCTAGATACAAGTAAACCATTTAATACAAAACTAACTTTTGTTAAATTGTCAGATGCCTACATATAGATGTGAAATGTGTGGATGCAATCATTTCCAACTATTGAAGAATTAAATAGACAAAATATAAGATTATCTTTATATCATTCCCTGGATTACTGTCAAAACGTAAAACAGAAAATCGTTTTACTTGAAATTAGTTAAGCTGGAGTATTTATAAGAAATAGTGGATGTGTAATCGATGATAAACGCGCAATGTACTGTGGATTCATTATTATTCGTTGCATACCAATTTTCGTGGGTTTGGTGGTAACCCGGGAACAACGAATCCAAATGTCAAACGAATTACAAATTTTGTATAGGAAATTATGCAGACTTTTGCAAAAGCACGAAATCAAATACCCACGAAAATGCAAGTTTTCCTCAATACACGAAAATTGGTACCCACGAAAATAAATGAATCCACAGTATGTCGCAAGTTGATAATAGTTTTCGAATACAATACTTCTCATAAATTATTTTATACTGAAAAGGTACGGAGTGTATCACAGTATCATAAATAACTTCAACAAGAAACTATAATTTATGAATAAAGGCTAAAGAAGTATACCGCTGTTCAAAAGTCATTAATCGATTGAAGAAAAAAAATCCGGGTTACAAACCAAAACCGAGGGAAACACATCAACTATAAGAGGAAAACAAAGGAACAACAGGAACACCGAAGTGCAACAAAAACAAACACCAACACACATGGAAACGAACTATTTGATAACAACTGCCATATTCCTGACTTAGTACAGGACATTTTAAGAAAAAATGGTTGGTTGATCCTGGTTTAATGGTACGCCTAACCTCCGGTTTTATGACAATGTTGAAAAATATCGCTGAAACACTACGTGACAGAAATACAGCGCAAACACACGCAAGAACATTCATAACAGAGAAGCGCACAAACAAATTATATAATAGTCGACACATTATGCAAACCACAGAACAACAACGAACATATTCCATCAACGACAAACACCACAGGATATCAAAAACAGTGACGTGCTTACGTTACTAACATGCAATCTCGAACTTTATACAATTATTTTACAATATTCGTTCAAACAATGTTCATGTCAATGATGATAGGGAAAGGCAATGTTATAATTATTTAGATTACAAACGATAAGACAACAGATTATCCCACAGAAACCATATCAGAAACATCAAAAATAAATCCATAAATGTTGAATGTACAAAACACCGATACACGCCGCACAGCAATGCAAATTCACATTCAGTATAACAGTGCAAAAAAATTGTTAATGATAATTTTAATCTAATCAGTTTTAAAAAATGTCATTGATCATCTTCGAATTCCATTTTAGCCATTTCCACTGCAACATTTCGATGCTTACGATCCCCAAATTTACCATCAATCGTATATTCAGTTTTTGGTTCATCAGTATAGTCATAAATATGTTGTGTCCTGCTGTAATTTAGAACGTAAAGCCATCCATCAGTTTTTGAGCTCTCAAATAAACGTTTTGCGTCGTCCTTGTTATTAAATACTGGTGAAACATTGATATTGTCCTTCAGTCCATAGCAAACCACAACGCATTTAATAAATTTAGGAGCCATAGTTTTGTTAATTTCTGTATCAAAAAACGAAAATTGATAATTTCTTCAATACTTATATTTCAAATGAAAATAACAATTATCAATTTCGTGCTGCAAACTTGCTACATACACAACCCAAGATAAAAGAAAGGCGAAAGATACCAGAGGGACATTAAAACTGAAAATTCGAATTTAAACTGACAACGTCATGGCTAAAAAAGAAAATAGACCAACTGACAAACCAAAAACTGGTGGTTATCTCAGGTGCTCCGGAAGGGTTAGCAGATCGTACTCCAAAATCTTGAATACAAATATTGTAATTATATTCCTTTTTTCTGTATTTAATATGTTCTCCTGTTGGGGAAATATTCCAAATTCTGTTTCCCCTTCTAGTCAATAGAACCATAGCAAAATCATAAGGCAACCAATCAGAACCCTCATTCGGAATAATGGAATTTTAATCGACTGTCATACAAGTGAGAGGTTTAACTCTACGTTCCGCTATATAGATGATGTTCTCTCACTAAATAATACAAAATTTGGTGACTATGTTGAACGAATCTATCCCATCGAACTAGAGATAAAGGATACTACAGATACAGTTAAGTCTGCCTCATATCTTGACTTACATCTAGAAATTGACAATGAGGGTCGGTTGAAAACAAAACTTTACGACAAAAGAGATGATTTCAGCTTCCCAATTGTGAACTTTCCATTTCTATGTAGCAACATTCCAGCAGCGCCTGCATACGGAGTATATATCTCCCAATTGATACGATATTCCCGGGCTTGTGTTTCTATCATGATTTCCTTGATAGAGGATTGCTGCTCACAAGGAAGCTATTAAGCCAAGAGTTCCAAATGATGAAGTTGAAATCATCCCTTCGTAAATTTTACGGACGCCATCACGAGTTGGTTGACCGTTATGGAATAACCGTTTCACAGATGATATCGGATATGTTCTTTATGTCGTAACTACAATACCCTTCCCTTTTCACGAATTTGACTTACCGAATTAGACTATTTACCGGATTTGTAATAACATAAGCAACACGACAGGTGCCACATGTGGAGCAGGATCTGCTTACCCTTCCGGAGCACCTGAGATCACCCCCAGTTTTGGTAGGGTTCGTGTTGCTTAGTCTTTAGTTTTCTATGTTGTGTCATCTGTACTATTATTTGTCTGTTTGTCTTTTTATTTTTGGACATGGCGTTGTCAGTTTGTTTTCGATCTATGAGTTTGACTGTCCCTCTGGTATCTTTCGTCCCTCTTTTAGCTAGCATGACACCAGGTTCAATCCACCATGTTTTACAAACAGAAATGCCTGTACCAAGTCAGGAATATGACAGTTGTATTAAATTCGTTTGATGTGTTTGAGCTTTTGATTTTGCCATTTGATAAGGGACTTTACGTTTTGAATTTTCCTTGGAATTGTTTTTTTTTTTCTGCATGTTATATTTTATTTTATTTGAAAAGTAAAAACTGGCGAGTATCATATAAAAAAAATGTTGTCAATGAAATCAACACTATTAATATCGTGCGTCCGAA